AAATTACTAAAAGTTAGATTTTTATAAAAAATAGTTTTACATTTATGATTTAAACTGCTTAACATTATTTTTTTTAATCCCAAAAATTGAATAAAATATATTTTTGATTTACTTTCACTAATTTTTTTGATAAATAAGATAATTTAAGACATTTAAGTATATTAATCTACAAAGTCGTATTAAAAAAAAAAGTATTTATATTTTTATTATTATATTTTACAGCGTTTAAGTATTACACATTTTTTTTTTTTTTTGCTTATCTATATAGAAAAATCACCTTTTAATATAAAATTTTGATAATCCAGTACACAGTGTTGCATCATTCTATTAAATATTACGTACGTTAATGATATTTTCGTATCGTATATTATGTTCTGAACACAAGGGACGTCTCGAGAAAGACCAACCACAGAAGACATAATTTAATATAATATGGTTATGAGTTTTAGTTGATGCTTCATTTTATTTTTTTTATTTAAATACATTTATTATGTCAAGCTACCGCTCAAAATTTACTCAAATAAGTAGTTCACGATAGTGTTATTATTTTACTTTGTCATGTGTTTATTTTGCCCAAAACGAAAAAAAAACCGGGTTTTTTCATTCACATTTACGTTTATTTTTTTTTTCAACTCTTTTTGGTTGCTCAATATTCAGCACCATATTTTATTTTATAAACTTAAAATTAGACCAACTTCAATTACCATAAAAATTTAGTATAGTGTTTTATAATAAAATATTATGCAAGAATACTTTTACTTAGATTAATATTTACCAAACTTAGAAAGATAATACGAACAAAAGGCAAGCTATTTATTTATTTTATTTATTCAAACGAACATCAACAATTTTTTCGCAAAACGTTTATAAATTAAAATTACTCATCTAATTTTATATTTATATTTTGTTTTAAAATTTTTTTTATGTCCATGAATAATATAGAAATGCATAGTATATATTATTTATAAATTCCATTTAAATAATCCATAAAAAATCAGATTTAAGTACAAAATAAAAATAATATATCATTAATATAGTTTTTATTATTATTTGTATTATAAAATTAAAAAAATTATATTATTTACAGTGTAAATTGTATTCGTGTAATTTGTTCACTTTTAAGTTAAAACAATTTTTTATCTAATATTTGCCATAAATTCTATGTAAAAATAACAAAATAATAAAATTAGATAAAAAATAAAAATTGCAGCAAAAGTGTATTGAAACTTACTTATAATTTATTAATGTAATTCGGTCATTTCCTAGTAAACCTTGATTGAAGTCCATTTTGTATTCGTTATTTAATTTAATATATGTGTAACGTGGGTTTTATTCAAAATTAACAATGACGGATTGTAGTATAATAATCCTTGTACAAACATTATTACATATTTATAAATGTGTTTATGCAAGAAGAGACTTAATCTAGAAATTCCAAACTTATAGGTTTCGAATTATATATTTCGGATAATACCTGTAATATATCTTTCTAATGTTGTAAGACAGCTGCAAGCTTTCTTTATATCATATAATGATTATAATGTATATAATAATATTTTATTTTCAAATTTAAATTTAAAAATTTTAAATTATCACAATGTTCATTATATATAGGCTGGTATTTAATAATATTTATTGTTTAAGTTTTGAGATGTTAAATATTTATATTTACAGGGCGATTTACTAAGCATGCTTGCCCCATTTTTTAAAATTAATAATGATTTTTTTTTCAAATATTCAGATATTTGAAAATTTTAAATATTCTTCAAATTTCTAAGACGTTTTTACACTTTTTTAGGAGTATTATGTCACGATCATAAATAACAAATGGATGCGAGTATACTTAGTGAATCACTCTGTATAATATACAAAAGTTGGAAAAAAATAATTTATTGTTTGCAATTAATTTTATAAAATAAAAAAATGATCATAATTCACAATTTCTGTAAATAATATTTAACACCTAATTATTTATCAATTTTTTATAACGACATTAGTTTTTGGGTTTCATTAAGGACGCTTTGAAGATGGAAGATTTTCTTTTATTTTTAATACATTGAATTTGAAATATAAAATAAATAATAAATACATAAATAAACTGTTAAATCATGTAATATTATTATTTACCTTGTATACAGTTTTCATTTACATAATTCAACATTGGCATTATTCCAAAAATGAGAACATTAATTAATTTTAAAACTATAAATTTAAATATATATCGATAAACACATTGTTTTATAGGTGTTTGCTTCTATACCTATTTAATTTATTTCTTAACTTTATCTTACAATTTTAAACAAAAAATAATTTTGCATTACTCATGAAACTGTTATCATAAGATATTATAATATATCTGTACCTAAAAACTAATAAATATAATTAACATATGTTTTTTTACTTGTTAGTAATTTAGTATTATTATAACTTACATCATGGAAATAAAAATATCTAGAAATAAACGATATATTTTTTTTTATCTTTACTCACGCTGATGACTTGAATCATATTATGTTATGCTATTATATCTGTTTAAAATGTAACTTCATCTTCACGATTTTTATGACTTAAAAAAATAAATAGATTTTCATAAATTATATAATTGAAGTTCTAAGTTTAGACGACTTTAAAAATGAAATAAAAGTAATGCGAATAAATTTTAAGTATTGTACGCATATTGTTAAAAAAATAAGAATTGAAATTAGCGTTTCAGTTTATTAATATAAGTGTAAAATCAATAAATTTTCCCTCAAATTTCTTGAATATATAATTTGAATAATTAACAACGATGTGTATTGTATTTTTTGCGAATAATAAGTAGAAGTGAAAAACACGAAATCATAGCTTGAAGAGGTTAGTGGGTACTTAAATTATTTATGAGAATAAAATTATTTCAACGACCCAGAATATATTATAAAACGAGAATTGTACGAGTATGCCAGCCTAGAAGATACTTAAAGAATAGCATAAAAAAAAGGTAAACAAGTGAAAATAATATAATAAATAATATAGATAATAGTAAGTACTTTTATGATTTAAGTTCAAAAAGTAGTTGGGAGTCGTTTGGATCTACATCACATACGTACTCAATTCTTTAAATTTATTGATATCGATAGTAGTATATTATTAATGCAAATAATGTATTTAAATAGTTGTGAAAAAAATAATTAGGAAAAATACTCAGCCTCCGATAAAAGGTTTAATTATTTTTTTTTTCTTATTATAATTATTTAAACAGCAATCTAAATAATTTTAGGAATACTTTAAATAATGACGAGGTCTCGACTATACATTTAATAAAAATAAATGATTCAGTATAATATTGATTTTCAGCCACATAATAAATACAGAACTTTGTTTGAAGCTTACCTCTTAACTTGTAGTTTAAAGTTTAGACTTGGTGAATCGAGGAGAGGTATACATTTCAATAATATGCTCACATTACACTTCCTTTGCTTTTCTAATATAAACTAGTAAACAATTCTAATTAATAATGAACGACTGAATTGCATCCAATTCTTTGAGAATTTTAAAATAAATGAAAATATGTAGCTAAAAGTATCAAATATATATTTTACTAAAGTAAAAATCTCTATATATACATATTAATTATACGTTTAAATGTGTTTAAAATATGAAGAATATCCTATCGGCATAAGTTGTTTATTTATTTTTTGAAAGCAATGTTTAGAAATCAGCGATAAACTGTCCACTTTTAGAAGTAGTCAAACCATATACCTATAAAAGGTTTATGCTCTTTCTCGTAGAGCTTATGATCAATCAGGTTGACGAGGGAATATACAACCTTTTTTAATGAAATTCAACTGAGATACCGATTTATCCAACAAGAACCTCACGTCTACATTCATACACACAAAATCAACCCCTTATGTCAAATAATGAGATAAAATATATAGCTTAATGTGCACCCTTTTCTAGATCGTTTCTCTTTAGATGCGAAAAATATCTTCGATGTATAAAATGTACTCAACTTAATCCAAATTCTGTGGTGTATCCAACTGTACGCAACAGATATTTAGTATTTATAACTTGATCGTATTTTATTAAATGAATTTCAATTTTTACTGAAAAGTTCATTATTTTAACAAGCACGAAATTCCAATTGGTTTTAGCGTTAATTTTTTTTAACCTTACACAGACTCTCTGAAGACTATTCAGGACGTGACCCGTTCACGAAAAGGGCCTGTCAGTCTATCAGTCAAAAGGAGAATACGATTGAGGGGAGTTTTTCCATTAGTTTTATTGAATTGAGTTATTTATCTGATACAGTCGTAAACAAGTATGGCCAGAGGTATACCCAAAATCTCCAGAAAACTAACACCGTAATAATATATATAGCATTATATAAAAGTATATAGTATAATATAGATTAAATTTCAATTTATTGTATATGATACATATATAATATATTATATATATTATATGATGTATAAATATATATATATATATATATATATTTGTGTGTGCTGTAGTGACGATTGCAATGCTGATGAGTATTTTTTCAATGCAATTGGACAACTTAAGTGTTCTTGACAGTTTATTTTAGATAAGACTACTCAATGACATTAGTGACTCCATTTAGATGGGGTGGATATTCCTATTATTTTTTAACTATTTTGTGCGTCCTTTTATATCGCGCACATACTCGCTGATGCAAAAACTTTCAATAGACTATCGTTATTGATGCCACATGCATTTGTACCCTTTCTCCCTATCCCAATTCATATCTGCATACCAAAAACGAATTAGGAAATAATTTCCTCGCAAAAGTGACTTCAAACGAGATAATTTTAGGGGGTTCGGTGTCAGCAACTACGGTAAAGGGGCAGTGCGCGCGCTGCGATACCAATACATAGCATGGTCGACCCAGAACTACCATTACGTTAATTAAATTAAAAAAATAACAAAACAAGAATCTCCTTTACATTATATTATTATTATATAACTATCTATAATTAAAAATCTGTGGCGTTTCGTAGAGGGTTGCAAGTTTCCGACTAGATGGGAGGGCGTTTGGTTCCAATCCGGTATCCGACAGTCCATCGTTGTGCAAGCTAACCGGTTCAGCATCAAAGGCAAGTGCGTGGACTCAGACGGTGACAAGTTTCTACTTTCGGACGAGTAAGTCAAGAAACTTAATACTCACATTACGTCATGTTATGTATTTTATAATTATACTAATACATACGCTGCTGTAGCTGTGGTTTTTATTATTATTGTTTTATTGTACGACAGCGATGATGTAACTTTAAATATTTATTACTATTTAACCATAATAATGTTTGTGTTGTTACTCGTGTTAATATATTCACAGAAAAACCGTTGTACTCTGCCAGATATAAATCATCATTTGAATATATTATATAATTTAGGTCACAGACTCTAGAAATGAAAAAAATTATCAATCATATATTGCATTATTGCATTTTAGCGTGATACAAATACTTGCTTGGTATTTAGGTACTTATTTACTCGACTATTTCTGTATCTATAATATTTATAAATTCTAATTAAACGATCTAGCATTTAAAAAATCTATTCCAAGTATTTTTTCTACTCTTTCTTTGCTACGCCTATTTATTATATACAATATACATATTATAATGAATGAAAATTAATATCATATTATGTCGAAATAAAATATTTCAAAGAAATAGCTAAGTTACAGCTTGAGCATGATAATTATAATGGGCATTAGTAAATTAAAAATATTAAAGAATCGTTACAAAAGTAAAGTTTAAAAAAAAATAAATTCAAAGCCTACTATATCATATTATCTGATAAAACGTAATACGTATATATTAAACTAATTACAGTTCAGTGAAATTGCTACAGATAGATTGTTTTCAAAAGTAAATACTTTTAAATTATCCAGAAAAAATAAACGTTATAATACAACAGGCGACAAGAGCTAAAATCTCTAAATAGTGGACATTTTTGATATGAAACGTAGATAAATAATAAACGTAAATAAGATTATAATAAAGAAAAAAAACCACAATGATAAAGAATATGATAAAAAATTTAAATATTTTTATTTTTAATAAAGTAAGTAATGTAAAGGATTCGATTGCATGGTAGATAATTTATAAATGTAACAGTGAAGAACGGAAAATTAACTTCTTTCAAGTATCTATTATATAGGATGATTATTTTATCAAACAATAACTCATTTATTTAAAATTTAACAATTTTTTTGAAAATATTACTTTACATAATTACCTGTCGATATGAAATAATATTTAAAGAAAACATGTTTTTAATGTTTCTTATTGCTTTTATTTTATAACTTTTTACTTTTTTGAATGACAACATTTTAATTTAATATTCTGAAGCAGAATATTTTCGAAATATTTTGATTCATGAAAATCGAAATTCGAACTAGTAATTTAAAAATTACATAAGCGGAGTGGAGTGGTCTCAAAATATAGATCTACTATTCCATTCAACTAAAATGTAAACACTTATATAAGTAGTTATAAATCATAAACTACTCGTAAAAACTTCGATATTTATGTATCGAAATACTTCAAAAAATGTTTTGTATCATAATAATATAATTTTTGATTTTGTTCAATATGACGTGAGCATAACTATAAATTAGATTAAATTTTTTTATGAAAATATAAAAATTAAATGTTAGGTAGTTAAATTAGATTAGAGTTAAACTTAAAAACAAGATAAAAATGCAATACATATTTAATAGGGTTATTTAAACATCATACGCATAACAAATAAATTAATTTTTTCATGTAGTCTCATTATTTTATTTGTATTACGACTATCACATTCGAGTTAAAATCTGTTCAATGAATCAGGTCATATATTAATCTTTCTAATCGAGGTTTCCGCGAAAACTATAGTTGATGTATTATGTTTTCTTTATAAAGGCGAAATTCTTCTAGTAATAATATTATTTGATACATTACAATCATAATGATCTGTTAATGGCTATAATTTTTTTTTGATCAATCATCTCGTGATTACTTGGGGAAAAAAATCCCAATTTTAAACTGCAAAAATAATGAACGTGGATAAATCTACAATAAGAGATTAACATATTTTATTCAAAAACAGATCCATCGCACTATTATTAATTATGGTGCTATGATTTTTATTTACATTCTAGTTATATATCCTGATAATTACTTCATAATAGTATAATATTTATAGTATATAAAACGTATGAAAAACTAAAATATGAATTTAAATTATAAGCATCTCTTGTTCTAATTAATCTGTATTTAAGTCATAATTAAATCCATAGCTAATTTATTGTTAATATAAACACAACATTCTTTTTGAATCAAAATGTATCAAACAAATGAAACATAATTATAAGTTATAACTATAAATATTTCATTATTTTTAGATAATTAATACATTGTAAATATCTACCTAATCTAATTATTATATCTAATCTATTTTTTTGTATTTATCGTATAAAAAATTTTATTTATGTACATATATAATATATATTTAATGCTCAAAAAAATTAATTTATTTTATTTTAGTGAATTTTTTTTTAGGTTTTAAAATTTTTAACTTACTCTCACATTTGCTGTGACAAGTAAATAATTAAAATTAGGAATCAAAATGTTAATATAAGTTTATATAAATTTAAATCATATACATTCAATAAACATTTTATATAAATACCAATATCATAAATAAAATACTATTATAAGCATAAGTACTATCCTAAATTAAAGATCCATTATGATATGAAATTGTACAGAACAAATATTACCTTAACGCTTAATATAAGTTATTACTATAGCAATATACTTATTTAAATATGCATATAAATTTACAGATATGCAAACTAATTAAATAAGTTCACACTGTGTTTTTAATCTGTCCCATCAATAATTGTAATATATAATAATTTTTAACTTTGTAATACAATGTATTCAAATCTAATATTTAATATTAGATTTGGACGTATTAAACAAAATAAAATATTAGTCTGATGTTAAGGAAAGCCCTTTAAATCGATTAATTATAGAACAGCATCAATATATTAAGGATTTAGTGTGAAACAACGCTCTCTTTAAATATTTGTACAAAGTATCTCGAAACACCATTCTTGAAAACCTCCAAATCCCATATTAATATAATACGTTCGTTATATTCTCGGTAAATGTCAACGAAAGCGATAAAGTTTTCTTATCTATTATTGACTTGTAAGGGATTCAAAGAACACAGTTCTCTTTGTAGCAGACAAAATATTATGTGCGTAGTGCTACTGGCGCACTGCTGCATGCGGTTTATTAACTTTTTTGAACTCAGTATTGTTATCATAATGAAATCCAAACCCAATAACCAAAAATTTAAACGTTGAATTGATCCTGGTGAGGTACAGTTAATTTTCTCACAGCTATTATTTTTTCATAATACACATTACACCGTATTGAGAGTACTGGTTCACAATATTATAACAATATAAGTATTGGATAATAGTTATGTTTGTAAACTATTAATAAAAAGGATATATCAACAGAGATTCAAGGATTCAGTTTATTTAAATACGGATTTTAATTTGTTACAACCAGAAACTTTTAGCAAACATTCGCATTTAGGGGTTTAATTTTAATACACATAATATTTACGAACAAACATTACAAAATTATATTATTTCTATAGTCACGTGAATATTGTAATACGGAATTAAAATAAACGAACACATCACCGTCATAAAATGTAATTTGAGTATTAAAAATAATAATATATATTAATAAATCAATTTTTACTATTTTTAAAGCTAAATCAGCGGAGAGATAAGGCCCTTTAAATATAATATTAAACTAAGCTTGGTTTTATTGAAAAAAAAAAAATAATAATAATGTACTTAGGTGGATTGACGCCAAAAGGATTTTATGTTCATTGGAGCATTAAGTTATTTATAGAGAAGTCAATAGTGTTATAAGATGAATCGAGTTGTGCACTTTAAATGGCGTGTTGAGTATGGTAAACGATAATCGTAAAACGGATCGTCTGCCATCCCATCGTTACTTTTCAGCCCTTAAATATGTATACCATCACGTTACCACGTATCTACGTAATATATATATATATATCTTTTTGATTACTTCATCTAATCTTCTAATAATAATAACAATATTTATATAGCCGTACAAGTATAGCTTGGATTTATATGTAATTCAAAATTCAAAATACGTGAATAAATAATGTGCAATAAAAGTTATAAAATATTTAGGTAGATTCGAAATTTCAATATGTAAATAGTTTATTTTATTATTATTAAAATATAAAATATATATAAACTGTAGATCAAATATAAACGCAAATTGCGATCTACACAACAATTTATTAGCCGAGTGTAAAAATAATATTAGAACAAACATGGATTTACGATCTCTTACTATATACTCATTTAGTCATATAATATTATATGGATGTAGGTTAAAATAACCACAAATAATAATTTGAAATATGAACAAGTCGTGTTTATATCGATTTACTCACATAGAAAACACCATTTTTTTTTTGATATTTTTGTACACATGGAGAAATAATAAAATATCAAAAAACATGTATTGTATTTATAACAAAATATTATATTAAAGTACTTTGTATATTATAGTGTATACAGAATTTTTTGAAATGTACTATAGCCGAATATGATAAATTTTATTAATAAAATAATTTGCATTCATATATACAAATATATAAATTTAAACCTATAATAGTCGTATAATAATCTAGAGTACTTATATCAAGAATATAACTGTAAAAATTGACAAATGTAGTTAAAAATATTATCATGTTATAATTATTTTCATAAATTGTAGTTATTATTTTGAATTATTTTTAGTTTTTTAGTGAAGTGAAATATGTAGTATTGATTTTTTAATAATTTTATTTTGTCTAACATTACCTTTTGAGACAGTAAAAACTTTTTGATTTTCAAAAATGAGCTGGTTTTTGATTTGAAAATTGGAACTAGTTGGTACATCGAAAGGCCAAAAGTAAAAAAAATGCGAATACTTGTTTTTATAATTAAAAAAAAAAAAATGAGAAAATATGGACATTTTTAAGTAAATCTTATTTTTGTCAAAATCAATTTTATTTTGTTATTCAATTAAAATAAATAACCTTAGATATTTAAAATTGTCATCAAATGTTAATATGAAATACCATCATTATTTATTTACAGTAAAATTTTTAAAATATTTCTTCTCTTTTTGAGCTATTTATGGCCATAAAAAACTTAATTTGGTTTTTTTTCTATAAATGTCTATTAAACATTACTCGCTTTGTAGAAATTCTTGAAAATTGAATGCAAAAAACCTTTATAAGTTTTTAATTTCTAAATTAAATAATATTCAAAAAATATTTACAATATTCCATTTAAAAATTTTCAAGTTAAAATTTTGTCAAAATTCATAAAAATCTTAAAAATTAGCAAATCATTTTGTTATTATAAATTCATAAAAACGTTTGTTTTTATACCTCAGACTTAAAAAATTTAATACAAGGTTCATTATAAGATTTTAACCTATATTTACATAAAAATAATTCTAACGGAAAGTCAAATAATTATTTTGCAATTATTTTAGTTTAAATTTTAATGACATTCCATATTCACCCATGATATTGTTGTATTTAAAAAAAATAATAACTAATATTTAAATTTTTCACCAAATGTTTATATTTTATATTATAATTTTTATCATATAAACATTTTTAATTTTTTTCAACTTTTATAGACATGGTCATTTTTTTTCTTAATGTCAAAAAATAATTCTATGGGTTAAAATTCTTGAAAATCAAAAACATGTATACAATTAATTATTTTTATAAATTTTCAAGTTATTTAAACGATAAATAATAACGATAATATTTTAATTTTAAAATTGAATAGTTACATGTCACTGTGGACGTTTGATTGAAACTGATTTAAAAATCACTTTAAATGCATTTTTGTAAATACTTATAAAGTTGATTGAAATTGAATTTTATGTAAGCTTTTGGCAGACGTTTCTTATTTTATATACATGTTTATTAACAATGAAATTTTGTACCATTTCGATGATAATAATACTATAATAAACAATAGTATGCTGTAAACGACGATAGCAAACTGTTCTGTTGCCATGTTACTTTTTCAACTGAACGCTATCGCAATTCCCGAGAATGTACCTATATATAAAAATGTATTCCAGCGATTTACGCGATGCGAATTGCATCGTAGGATGAAGGATGACTATAATACATATAATACATAGTATTATAGTCATTCTATTATTATTGTGCGCGATTATATTGTGCGGTATGGTACGACAAAAAATATGGCCCACGACAACAATAATACATTTAATATTATATAATACATATTGAAGCTATCTGTTTATTGTGTTTTTCACAGGAAAAAGCCGTGTTACCGGTGCGTGGTTATTCACGAAAAACATCACAACGTTCTCCAGTACAAAGAAAGTAAGTCGCTGAGATATTAAATTGACATATGTATTGTTTGTGGCTGGAGGGTGGGTTTAGGTGGTCCCGGGGAAACATCGCTGCCAAGAAAAATCTGGCCATTCGATCCCCTTAGGTAGCTATATATGTTTATAATATATATTATATATGTTTTGGTGTACTAGTCCCTGTGTTTATTATATACGCGAAACAATCAATGAAGACAATGTTTATTGGACCGTTAAACCGGACAAGCGATTCAATTGGTATTTGTGCTAACGCGATTACTGTGGATAAAAACGATGCGGCTAAAAGGTCTTAGTTGGAAGAAAATGAGTAAAAGTAGGGCTGGATAAATGTATATAATATTTGGTGAGCGTTTGTGCGGTAATCGGGAAAAATATTGGGGAACGTATTATAGTGAAATGATAAGGCATATACCGTAATACCGTCGTGGTTGTAAAACATTAAAGATTGCTGTTTGAAATCGATGTTAATAAATTATTAATATATATTCATGTATATATATATATATATATATAGAGAGAGAGAGAGAGAGAGAGAGATAGAAATAATTTTCATAATAGATTTTTTGTGTTTGATTTTCAATTATTTTTAATGGTTATTAGTAATTACGGCTGCCTATAACTACAATAGACATTTAAATAAGTTATACAAAAATAGATTTTTATGGTAATTAATCGATTATTTATAAGAAGTCAATGAGTAAAAAAAAAATTTTAAATATAGATAGGGAGGGGGTGCTTTACACCATCCAATGATTTCTGCTATTATTAAACCACCAGCTTGGGTATAGTAATTATAGACAATAGTTAATAAAATATTATTACATGGTCAACTACGATTTACAGCCTTTTGCAACGAAATGGGCACGCTGAAGACCATCTGTCCACTGATTACTGGTGACGCGCTCCTGTATTCTATGTTCCGAGAGTCCGGAAATCCTATGCAGTGCCCGTTCAAGCCACCATACACGTTCACGTACAACCGTGGTCACGGTGACTGCAAGAACCCCGTTTCCACAGTAGAAGCTTGTACCCAGGATTCGAGGCTGTTAATCCGGTACCAGGCGTGTCCGGATGTCGAAGGGTCCGAGAGTGCGCGTGAGTATTTATAATAAAATTGTATATTATAACATTTTTCAATTATACGATGTGAGGTCTATAATTAAAGCAAGTTACTGTGGTCAGTTATTGACGAAAATTATTCACACGTAAATTAGTATCGATACTTAGTGAATTTAACTTTTTTTTCAATAACTGTTCATCTACCTCGGTCGTTATTTGACAGAAAAAAAAAAAATTCTTGCTGAACATTCATTTTATTTTGTTAATATTTAGCAAGTAAAACTATTTATTATGTAAATGTTGAAATAATATGAACAATATATTTAAAACTGAGAAAATAAATAATATATACATACATAACAAAAAATGGTAATAAACTTATTATTATATACCGTGTGTCCCAAAAATCAGGGGCCACTTTACCACTCATTATCATGTAAATATTTTTCAATTGTTTGCGGGACACTAAACCAGACTAATGGATCATAAATTTCTATGACTTACAATGTTTTTAACTCATGTATCTTGCGCATGCGCAATAAAACTTCACTTTTTTTAAACGGCAACTCGTAATTTTAATATCATATTCGGGTTCATCGATTTTTTCAAGCCATTTTGATGTATCAACTTGTGTTCTAATAATAATAAAATAAGATAATAATTCATAAATAGTAAATAGTTAATTAGTTTAATAATAATAATTTTGATTGTTTGTTTCACGGTGCTTAGAAGAAAAAAATAAGTACGTACAGTTAGAAAAAAAATTAATTAAATTGAATTTTTAAATTTTTTAAATTCTACTTAGCTCTAGTTTAGTCAATTTTGGGTTTAGGACACAAGTTGATACATCAAAATGGCTTGAAAACATCGATGAACCCGAATATGATATTAAAATTACGGGTTGCCGTTTAAAAAAAGTGAAGTTTTATTGCTCATGCGCAAGATACATGAGTTAAAAACATTGTAAGTCATAGAAATTTACGATCCATTAGTCTAGTTTATTGTCCCGCAAACAGAATTGAAAAATATTTACATGGAAATGAGTGGTAAAGTGACCCCTGATTTTTGGGACACACGGTATATATATATATATATATATATATATATATATATTAGTTGGAAGTTATATTGTGTATAAATCACATATCCGATCACCTTTCAATTCTCGTGATCTCGATACGATAAAACACGAGATATTTGTTTATATAGAATTCAATTGCTCTATCAATTTTTATTTATTGTAAAACAATTATATGAAAATGTATTAAAAAGTAGAGTAGTATATAATCAAGTGCACTATTCTTGAAAGTAATAACCAAACGTATATCTAATAACTTGTACAAAATCAATTTATTACCTTAATTAGTTTATTATCGCATATCCTTGAATAATTTACAAGTAATGTAATCGAAAAGATGTTGCCGTTGCCACTATACAATCAATTTTTTTTGATCGAAAATATTTTCATACAGAAGTAAATATAATATGATTAATGTAAAAACGATAATATTATTTTATCACTAGAAAATAATTCAAATCTTATTAATAATAAAATTAAGTATAAAATTCAACAAAAATGTCCATATCTTCAACTTTGCTCGTAATCTTGAAGATATAAATAGTGTATAATTATATAACATATCTAGGCATATTATATTTTAGTATTACGAGTATTTATATTATGTTACAATACGTTTTATTATTATTTTCTCTCTTTTAATTTATCTTTAGAGTTTTGAGACTGTTCGTATATTTTAATTTGTCACCACACCTACTGTGTTTTGTGGTAAGTTTAGGTTTTGAAACCACAAGCGAAAAACACGACATGAGAAGTGTTTAAACCCTACTATTCTAGAACCCGCGTTTCGTGAACTTTCATTTCCTTGTGCGTTATTATATAATTATTATTGTTTTTGTGAAAATTACCTTAAACCGCATTTTATTGACGAAAAAACCTTAAAAATGTTAATAACCACCAAATAACCACTATACTTAATTTCAAATATGTAGACCTCCCCGCAAATGCCGTGATAGATAGCAATCCACTTTTAGTATCGACTTTATACTATATTTCAACATTATACTATAATAATACAAACTAAATTTAAGTACATGATTACTATATTAAGATCTTTAATAAAGACTTGACTGGTAAAATTACAATTCTTATAATTTAAATATACCCTGATACTATTATTATTATGTAAAGAAATATTTGAACCGTCAAATAATAGACTTTACTACTGACGTGATTATTTTAATAATTTCCTTAGATTTTTTAATGTATTTACATCACATTCAAAAAAAAAAAAAAAAATGTAACTTGATTAGATGGATATAAAACAAATACAATTCACATGTTAGTTTTAATCATTTATTAAAAATAGTTTGCTTTATTAAATATAAACTTAATTTATTTATAATAATAGAATAAATGTTTTATGAATCAAAATAAGTTTAATCATACCATAACTATAAAATATAAAATATAGCTTCAAATATTGATAATTATTTTAGTAGTAATGTGTTATAAATGTGTGAAAACTTAATACATAATGTATATTATATAATATAAAATATGTTTAGTCGAAGAAGTTGAATGCATAGCCGGTTGGAAAGAGGGTTCATACCGGTTTCTTGTTGGTAGAGTTCACCATAGCAATGGTATACCTATGTCAACTGAAGACCGATTCAAGTGTTTTATATATGAGCGAACGACATCTCAGAGGCAACTGAAAGGTTCTAGTGCTTCTGGAGACGTTGAATATAGAGTGGCACAGTCCGGCGACGCCACATGCAGTGGTCTTTTCAGTCCTCTTGAAGGGTCCAGGACTATGATATTGAAAAAAGGTATGTATTTATCTTTATTTAGAATGTTAATTTTAAGAATGAATGACTTAAAAGTATAGTAGCATAAAATTTAACTTGTTTCGTGAATTGTTTTTACTATTATATTGATAAAATATTAATAAATATAAAAATAAAAATACCTGATGTCGAAATATATAATTTTATATATCATTAACATTAATTTTTTTTAAACCGTTCAATAATATTTAATTATCAACATCGAATCATAAAAATAAGATTTAATTTGCTAAAATTAAACTGAAATAGTAAATATTTTTTTGATAAACAAAATAAAACAAACTGTTAGTATTTGGTATTATTTTTTTTTAACTTTCTATTATAAGCTTTGAAGCAATATTTGTTCCCAAATCAAAATTTGTATATATTAAAATATGGAGAAAATTTAAAAAAAATAATTTGATTTGAATAAAAATATGAATTTAATCAGTAAGTTTTTGTTAGTATATTTTAAAATGTGGATGATTGCGTTTAATTGAAATATTTTAACGATAATAGTGGATTACAAAACACGCTAATAGAATTTTCTAAACCTAAAATCAATTTATTTTTGATTTTTTACGCAGAAATCTTTGAGACGAAATGCAGCTTTCCGTTATGGCTAACTGAAATTCAAAGGTGGCGAACGTTGGATCACGGTAAAACGTTTACTTTTCTTCATCACCACAACAACAACACGTTGAAACTAATGTCTAGTTCGTTGGATCGTGTGTTCGCTGCGCAAACCATACAAGCTTCACACCAATTTTTTTACAATCAGCCGTTAGTTGCACCTTTACCTGGACATGAAATGAAATTCTCTTGTCAGCAGGAAATGGAAGAGTTGCCGCACCGGTTCAGGGTGATGGCGCACTACGTTACTGGATGGTAAACAATATAATAATATTAGGGATGAGAAGTAGTTACAAAATGATATACAAAATATTTTATTTGTGTCTTCTGTTTACAGCTAAATTAGCTAAATATCCATTCTATATATTCATATAAGTTAATACATATTTTATTATTTGTTTATTTAATACATTAAAAAAAAAAAAAAACATATCTATAACATTTATAGAAGTGTTTTTAGATTGACTTATATATCTAGTTTTTTATTTATGAATTTAAACACACTATAACTTCTCATTGCTAATAATATTAATTTATATGTTTTGTGATTCGAATATTTCTCACGTCTAACCAGTAAATCGTGTTTTTGTTATTTTATTTGGTTTCTTCCTTATGCGCAGCCAAAGCGGATATATTTGTTTAAACTTCCACCGAAGAACACATGACTTGGCAGAACTTCAAATGGGTAAGTCATCGCCGCCCTTACGGACAAAGTTACGTGTGGGTTGGAAAAATAACAGTATAATAATAATATAGTATTTATTTTTATTTTTTCGTCCAAAATCAGGCCAGCCAAGCAGGAGACCCGAAGACGCATGTAACTCTCCGAACTTTGATGCGCACGCTACGGATTCAATTACGCTAGTGGGTAAGTCGTTGATTGCAAAAATATTTCAAGTGTTTGCCGAGACACCGAGTGCAATTTCACGTTAACCTTCTAAAACAAATACTGATAGACTGCAGGGAATGCGGTGTTTACAAATACAGTACGCACGATGAATATCAAGCGTCGTAGTTCCAAATCTAGTTAACCAACTGTTTTTTTTTTTTTTTGCTACTACTATTATTTCATTTTGTATTGAAATTCTAGAAAAAACTGTTCCAACTGTCATATTAAACATTTATTTATGAATATAAATATTATATATTAAATCAAATCATCTGTTTGAATTCTGTTTCAACATAATCTATACTATCGAATTTCTATTGCGATGACGTAAAAATAAATAAATATTTTTATTATATTTTCTTAAGTAGTAATTTTTATACAAATAGCAGTTTGTTTTTCACAAATTTTTCTCTGATTTGACGTGTTAGGACGTTATTTATTTGATAAAATTATTTTTTATAAATTGAATTGGACATGATAGTTTATACAAAAATAAAATAATAGTAATAATAATACAAAAAAACTTGATTTTATATGCATTAAATAACATAAAAAATGTTTTATCCTACTAAGCATATATTAGTAATATAATATAATATATAATAGTTTATTATATATTGTATATAATACAATTAATTTTTGTATTAATCTTAAATTTCAAAACTATAAAAACTATTATTTTACCTTTTTTTTAATAATATTAGTAATTTTTAACGATTTTCAAAAAAAAAAAACTTCAGAGTTTATTTGAGAATGTGTTTTTTTATTACATTTTATTCTTGTATTAAAACTGCGTAACTCTATATTACATTTTGTTTATAGCTTCCAAATCGGACTTTCGAAATTGCCCTTATAAAGGAATTTACACGATAAAAAAAGTCAGTAAAAGTATGTCATGGAACGATGTATCTTCAATTTTATTGAGTAAAACAAATCTAAATGTAAGTACTATATAAACAGCCAAAATACATAGTAGGAATAAACATTTTTTTTTTTTTTTATTGAGGAAATACTGTTATTTTTTTTATGGAAAATTGAGAAATTTTGTTTTAAGTATAAGTTTTCTGAAAAAAATGTATTATTTCTTTGAAAAAAAAAAAGTAACTGCATTTATCTATTAGCACTGCTTCAACAATTAAAAACAAACACATACAAAAATGCATAATTAAGATATTTTTAAAACAATTGTCCGTATTAATAATACTATTGAATATACAATTTCACTAAGAAGAACCGAAATTAATAGGCACATGGTATACTAATACATTTCTATTTATACTTTACTGGACGCTCCTTATTGTTGTAGTTCCTTTTTCTAACTTGAATATTTTTTTAAATTGAAAACGTTAGTGTAATCATAATTCAACACTTGGATTTAGTTTTAAAGCTAAAGTAATTTTAAGTTAGTCCGTAGTTTGTAGGTCATATTTAGTTTAATTTATTACAAAAAATTGTTTAATTTAAAATAACGTTTTGTTTCTGTTTAGTTTTTTAATTGTAACTTTTTATACTTTAAAATGATTTTAAGCATAAATTAATTATTTTAATATCTGAAAGTCTCTTATTAAATTTTCTGAGATTCAAAGTTTTCTGGAATCTTACCATTTTTAAATTTACTAATTTTCCAATATTTTTCGTGTTTTTGATAAAAAAAATATATTCCCCTAAAATTTACAGTGTTTTATTTTTTAATTACCAGTATTTAATATATAAATTTGACTTTAGTTACCGGTGGACTTGTTAACTTCTGACAATCATCCGTCTATTGTGTTAACTACGACTTCACCACCTTCACCCAAACGTCACTCATCCGAACACTACGAGAAATCGTCAGACGATTGGAGTGTGACGTACAAGAAGTTACAACCTGACTTACCAAGTCTTGTTAGGTCTAGAAAGAACATAAGCAAAGAAATCGAGCGGCTATCAGAATATGACGACGATGATGAGGCTACGTTGCGCAGAGTCAAAAGGAAAGGCCGACGGATTTTGAGCAGCAAGACAATCACCGACGAAGAATGCAAATTGAACTTGACTTCGATTGTGTTTTCCTGTGGATCTACTGATTCAATAGAACTAGTTGCAGGATGTCCTCGATTGACACACATACGATCAGGTAAGAATACGATTGATTAAATTAGAATATAATCGGTTATTTTTGTATAGAATTAATATATAATTGTAGTAATTTGATATTTTTTTATTTATGGTTCACGGTATTTACTTATCTATTTGTGTTATTTACAATTATTTATTGAAAAAAAATCGTAATAAACAAATAACTATTTTACTATTTGATCAAATATTTGTGTTATTTGTTATAATATTTTATAAAATATCCAATTATAAATTTATAGATTTGTATTTATTTTTATGATTTTCAACAAAACATTATACAATTTTTCAATTGGCACTAATAAACCTAAATTTACATCATGTCTATAAGTAATTTAAATTAGATCATTTATCAATTTATTATAATTCGATAAAAATGGATTAATAAAAACTCTTAAATATATTTTAAGACAAAATGTTTATAGAACCGAGGCTTATGGACTAATTAAGTGATGTTAATAAATATATCAAATTTTAATATCAAAATAAAATATATTATTAAATTATATTTTATTAATATATATATTATTGTTGTCTCTCTTATGAGCTATAACAATATCATGTTATACCATAATTTACTTTTACCTATTAAAAAATTCTTGAAAAGCTGATCATAGTTCCTTATATGTTGTAAAATTATTATGATTAATAGATATTAGTTCGACAATTTAACGACATTGAAGTCATAGTGTATAACTATTTTCTATTCAAATGTAAGAAGTACATCTTTCGAATAAACATTTTCAACTAATCTGATCTACTCAATAATGATCGAGATAAAAATGATTTATTAAAAATAAATTATTTTTTATGTTTCTTTTCACAAGTTAGCTAAAAATCTAGAAAATGTGGAAAAAAACAAATTTGATGATTATTTTACAATTTATATAGATACTTTACTACGATACATACAAGCGGTACAGTTCTTTTTTACTAACAAAAATAGTTCTATCGACTAAATTTGCCAAAGCCTATATAAAACTTAGATAATTTTGATATTAAAATAGATAAAAGTACGAGTATTTATAAAAATTTTTTTATTTATTTTAATGCACTGCATTAAATTAAAACGATAGTAATTCAATAACGTAACGCATTTACATTTGATAGGTACAAGAAACGCAAATTTTGTATAATTATTTTTTTATTTATTCTTAATGACGTAGTTAAATAAGTTAATATTTTTTTCTATTAAAACGTTTTATGTTTGATTAAAATTCTTTAATATCTGGAAATTGTCTTATGAACGACTAAATGAACCAATTTTCTTGAAGCATAAAAATATTTTCTGTAAATTAGTTTTCTTGTGTATAAACATAAAATTCGGTTATAAATAAACCTTTTTTACTATATAATATTTGGGTTCTTTAATAGTTATTAATTTAATGTGTAATTTGACAGTAATGCAATAATTCTTTGAAAAAAATGTATCTTAACGATAACGTCTTCGTGTAATTTATTAATTTTATTTTCCTAAATTTCAACTATGATTCGCAACACTAAAAAATAGCTTTTTAAATTTTCAAAACTTCAATTTTAATCTTCATAACGTTTCAATAAATGGCTTTTAGACATTTTGTCTTTAAAACATTTAAAATTCAAGATAGAAAATCAATATTTCAATAATACAATATTCTACTATCATTTTTATCTTTGTAAAGCATTATTAAATTTATTTGAGTAAGTCCATAGTTACGGTAAACGTCTCTATGAGTAATATACATTATTTTTAATATTGTTTTATTTATTAAATATTTATTTTATGTTGACTTCTATTGCATTTTATAGTTTCCATGTTGTTAATTTTATTTTCAATGAGGTTAAGAGTGAAATTTTATTAACGATGCTTGTAGTTCTTGTAATTATTATTACCACTAGAATACGCTTAATACAACATATTTTTTATTATTGTATTTCAATAACAATACAATTTTTATTATTTTAAATTTAATTTTAGAAAAAATAACAATATATTTGGTTACATTACTGTTTAAAGATTAAATTGTCAACACTTGTACTTAAATAATATATGGGTATTGTCTGTCTTGATTATAAAAAAACGTAAAATATTTATTTATTTATTTATAAAAATTTTAATTAAATCTATTTTGTAAGTATCAATATTCGTTAATTAAGTTATAACTTTTTAAATTAACACTATAAAATGTAATAATATTTTGAATACAAATAAATTTAAAATTTTTTATCAAAATTAAGAATGATTGAAATAATTAAGATTTTAAACCATTGCAATGTTTTATAGTACCTAATAAAAAAAAAAAAAAAAAAAATAATAATATAATTAATTATGTGATAATTTATATAACTATATATATATATACACACACTTATTTATATTATACTAACGAATTTAATTTAGTTAATTAAGTTTAAATTTCGTTCATACGATATATGAAACATTGCTGTTACTGTATACCGAATATATCTAAATTAAATTTAACAATAAATATTTTATTTTTTTAAAAACCCTTGTTTGTAATATTATTTACATTCACAACACACATCATGACATAACGTTTACAATCAAATAAAAGACAGTAAAACTTAAAACAATAAACACGTTAACACTTTTTTTAACTGTATACTCTATATATATAGTATATAATAATATAAGTGCATAATTTTGTTACAAAAACACGCCAGAACAAAACAAACCGTATGGTTCACTGACAATTTTGCTTCTATTTACTATGTCAAGATGTTTTTTTTTTTGTGATTCCCAAAACGAAGTTTATGATTTTGATAGTTTTAATTGCTGAACGAAAATTGTACATAACTTTTTCATGTTAACACTTATTCCATAGAAATCGTATACATGAAATCATAAATGCATATTATGATGTACAATACATTTGGTAAAGCTATTCATTAAAATAAGCAGTATTTAGTCCAAATAATTCGGATCTCAAAGGCTTATCCCAATGCAAAAATATACGATTTTAAATTTTTCTTTTACTTATAATTTAAAATACAATTTTTACGTAAAAATATTTTTTCTGCCATATTCCGTAATCATATTGCATGTTCGTGAATATAAATTACGAAAATAAAATAATTTTAATACACTGGAAGCTTTTGTATATAGTACATTATGACATTTTGAAAAAAAATTTGTTTCAACGATCATATTTTTTTAAACTTAGTTAACGTATAGCGTTATTTTTTCAGTTTGTTTATTGTTTATCGTAATAAAAATTAAAACCAATTCCTATATTTTTATTTTTTTGTTATTATATTATGTTATATTTTGAATTTTCATATTTGATTATTTTTGCCAAATTCCCAAACAAATTGAGCTAGATAATATTCTAATCGTCGTTTTAAATATTTTATCATTAACACTGAATAGTAAAATGTAATATAGCTTGATAAAATATTTTATTATTATGCCAAAGTGTTCCATTCATAGCTAATTATTATGCAATTTCTTTTGTAAATTAATGTTTATTAACACTTAAAATTGTTATTATAATATTTTGCTGTAATGGCCACCTCTGAAAAACCCATTCTTAATACCCTAGTTAAATCATCTAAATGACTAAACATAATGTATTCATTAAACGAATATACATTCTTTATGTCTTATATTTTATATTTAACAAAATAGGTTATTATAGCATAATATAAATATATATTTTTTTGATATATTTGTTAAAAATGATAAATTGGAAGGGTAATTATTATTTAATAGCTAATAATATTATGAACATAAAAAAAATTATTCCTGTTAACGACAGTGATGTATCAAATTTGCCTATACAATACTCCGTGTTACTTTTATATAAAATAAAACCTAATATGATTATCATAATATTACACGAATGCAAAACATAATAACCAATTGTTTTAAAAATTATAATTTTTTTAAATAATAAGATATAATGTTTTATTAAAATATGTTAATTTAGTTTTTTTAAAGCCTACAGAAAATTAAAACAATTATTTTGCATGGTAATTACTATTTTGATTGTTAACAGAATATAAAAAAATGTAATATTTATTTTCAGATTTTACTCAAATAATAAAAAATAATTGTTTTTAATTTGATTCAGACTAACTATGTTATTTTAAAACAACATCAACAGGATAATTGCTTTCAAACTATTGTGTGTTAACTAATAATTCGTTAAAAACGTCAAACGCATTTAAATTAATTGCTCTCAATAAATATTTTCCTGACTTCCCGTTTATTCGCTCCGATTTATAAGCTTTTTTTTCCAAATATCAAATTTTAAATATTATAAATTTAACAGTAGATTTTCATTTAGAAGATATTTATAGAATACTTTTATTTCAAAAAATATTAATATTATTGTTTGACGCAAAATACTGTAACTTTTCTTTCTAACCACGCCTCATACATACTTTCCAAGGGAGGAATAACTGTATAAACAATACAAATTTCTGTATCCATTGAATATATAGTGTTTTATAACAATATACTGTATTATGGTTTGGAAAAGGAAAAGCAGAGAACAACGTGTAACCAAATTTTTGGAAAGCTTATAACTTTGTTAAGTCCGCACAAACCAATACACACTGAACGCTTTATTTTCCACGAAACATTTTCTAGTATTATTATTATCATCTTAGAGTGGTGGCCGGTTTCAGGAGAGATTGTTGTAAAACTGTAGTTTCTGACTGCAATAATGCTGCGTAGGCTGATGTAGAGAGCAATTGGGCTAATGGCGAGTGAGTTAGGAGCTACCCCTCCGGTCTCATATACCGGAAGTCTGTTTAAAATTTCCGGTAAGTGACCCTTTGGTTTTCGAGAACAGCGAAGGAAAGTCCTATTGGGTTAAACGGAGAAATATATAACGGAAAACTTGTTCATGACGTCGAAATGCGTACAGACCGTGTGACACGAGTTGATCCGGGTCTGGGGGCTATTACTAAGCGTTAGTGAGTATATTTTGTATGTGTGTGTGTACGTGCGTGTGTCCTTTTACGCACACGCTCGATGAACGATCAATTCGACCG